TGGGTGAGGGTTGTTTGGGCTTAGCCACAGCATCAGCTGGCAGAAGCTGGCAATGGGGGCTAGCTCTGTCAAGTCAAACCTCAGAACCACCTGGAGAGTGCATAATCCGGGAGTGGGAGAGGTCTGGGAGGGAAATAGTGGGCTCCTCCCTCTTGTGTTACCTCTCCCACTGGAGGGCAAGAAAACTAGGACAGGGGCTGAGGTGGCTAGACAGAGGCACTCAACAACAACATCCATGAGGGCTGGATAGTTGAGCTAGTTAGATGGAATGAGGCTTCAATGCCCACTGACATGTATGAGAGCCAAACGGGATATGCGACAGAGTGGAATAGTCTGCTACACATACTGGCAGACCAGGGTAGGGGGCAGGCCTGGTGGGGGTTATTATGGGTCACTCTGACTGAGCAGCAGCTCCCACTGGTTTATGTGAGGGCCAAGTGTGTGCTGGGCAGAACCAGGCTGGACTGCAACACCCATTGGTTCCAGTGGAAGTCGGGGCTAGAAACAGAACTGACCCAGCAATTGCAACCACCAGCTGATCGGGGCAATGGACTGTGTTGGGCCCTGTACTTGCCAGTACATACAAGAATCTGGTCTGGGAACACCTCAAAGTTTCTTTGGGGATCTCCCCAATTGAAATGGTAGAAGACAGAACGGGTCAATCAACCACCTCAGCTATATATTGGCAGTGAAAAACTGGGCAAATGGAGACTTTATGACGGACTATGTCAATCAGTGGATTCTTCAACGACATCATCGTGCTTGGAGTGGTGAGACTGGCAGCGATTCATAACTGTTGAACTATCAAAACCACTTGAGCAAGACCCTCGGGGCATGCCCCGCATTGGGGACCTGTGGAGGGGTGGGAGACTGGGTGGGGCTTCTCCCTTAATATCCCCCTTCACCTCAGATATATGAAGGAAACAATGTGGAAATAATAGTCTTTCCCACTTTCCTGTAGCTCTAGTACCTTTTTACCTTAATTAACAATGTAAAGATTGTCAAAAATATAATAAAATATAATAAAAAATGGCTATTTTATCTTACTAACCATGCTAAAAGGAGACCTGTATAGATATTAGTGCATGCAATAATATACCAAACTTTCAAAATTTCCCCTAATTGACTGTAGTACATCAGGTCTAGGATGTCATACCTTGGGAAGTTCTATCACAAAGTAAGATGTGTCAGAACATGAATGTCCCGACTGGGAAAGAAACTTGAATTCATCCTCTATGAATAGTCATTATAGTACCAGTAGTATTCAGTCTACTGAAGTGAAGACAAGAAGCAGATGGTATAAGAAATAAACCAACTGCTATCTTTAGGTGTCCAAGAAGCTGTTATGCAGAATGGGGTGAACTGTCACAGATAAAAGAAGGAGGACCTTTGTTTAAAATGCATAGACACAATGTTAGCCACATGACTTCCACTGGCAATTACGTTGGAGGAGATTGGGAAGGTTTATTAGCACTTTTTTTTTAGTCTATATTGAAAATGCAGACTAACCTAGCTCTCCTTAAACTACACACACAGGGGGCATGGTTGGGGGGGGGGAGGAGTTAGGGATCCTTTGTTAGAGCCCAGCCACAGTGAAAGTCTAAACTCCTTATCTGAATTTTGTCATAAATGAGGCTACAGTCACAGATTTTGGGGGAGAGGTTGCTTGGAGTAGACTTGTTGATTAAGAACTCAGGTCATTCACAATGGCTCAATGACTAAGTCCTCTGCTTGCAAGTGGCAGGAGCCCATAGGGACACAGGTTTATGTTTCAGCTGCTCCACTCCCCATCTAACGCTCTGCTTGTGGCCTGGGAAAGCAGTGGAGTATGGCCCAAAGCCTTGGGACCCTAAACCCTCATGGGAGACCTGGAAGAAGCTACTGGCTTTGGATCAGCTCAGCTCTGACCATTTGGGGAATGAACCGGTAGATGGAGGATCTTTCTCTCTGTCTCCCCTTCTCTCTGCAAATATGATCTGCCTTTCCAATAAAAAGAAATAAAATCTTTTGAAGAATTCTTTATTTTAGAATAATTTTTCTTTTACAAGCCTAAAATTGTATAGTACAAGGTGTTCATAAATACCCTGTGCCCAGATTCCACTATTGTTAATATCTGCTCCTTTCCAAATAATTTGAGTGGCTTTGCAAGATTTTTCCATGACATTTGGCATTTCTGAATTGTCAGACTCTCCAGCATTCACTCTGGGATATATGAGGCAAAATAAAAAACCCAAGAAACCCACTGTTGTATCACATCAAGGGTCCTCAAAAACCCAGTCCCATTCTTTCTGCCCCTCCCCAAATGTCTGTGTCTTCTGATGATTTATGTGTAATGACCAGGGCTTTCATTTGTATTTAGCAGGAAGGCTAGGGAACAGTATTTCTTGCTCATCTAATCCTTCCATAAAATTGTCCATGGATAAAATGGGCATCCTGGGCCCGGGGCGATAGCATAGTGGTTAAAGTCCTCACCTTGAACACACTGGGATCTCATATGGGCACCGGTTCTAATCCCGGCAGCTCCACTTCCCATCCAGCTCCCTGCTTGTGGCCTGGGAAAGCATTCGAGGACGGCCCAAAGCCTTGGGACCCTGCACCCACGTGGGAGACTCAGCAGAAGAGGTTACTGGCTCTTGGCTTTGGATTGGCTCAGATCCAGCCGTTGTGGTCACTTGGGGAGTGAAACATCGGACTGAAGATCTTTCCTCTCTGTCTCTCCTTCTCTCTGTATATCTGACTTTGTAATAAAAATAAATAAATCTTTTAAAAAACAAAAAGATTTATTAAAAACCAAAAAAATAAAATGGGCATCCTGAATATTTAATAAATTTCCATTTCCTGGAAGTGTTCAAGCAGAGTTGGAGATAAGCACTATGGCTAGTAATGCTGTAGATTCAAAGTAAGCATAAGACGGCAAGTTGCACTAAAACATTCCAGAGTTTGTAATCCATAGATTCTACCTACTATGATTTTATAGGACTTTCCAACTTTCCACAAGCAAGTCCTTATTGAACAAACAACATACTGGGCTCTTGGCACAGAGCAGTGAATAAGACAATGGTCAGAGCTGAGCCAATGCAAAGCCAGGAGCCAGGAGCTTCTTCCATACCTCCCACGTGGGTGCAGGGTCCCAAGGCTTTGGGCCATCCTCTACTGCTTCCCCTGGCCACAAGTAGGGATCTGGATGGGAAGCGGAGCAGCCAGGATATGAACCAGAGCCCATAAGGGATCCTAACGCATGCAAGGCAAGGATTTAGCCATTGTGCCATTGTGCTGGTTCCTTCTGCTGTTTTGTGTAACCAAATGTGTGGCAATTTATATGAGCTCTAGCAAAAACTACAACATGTTCTTTGTAATTCATATGCATAAACATGCAAAAACAGGAATCTCACAACCCTAATGTACTCAAGTATTCAGCCCTCACGTCAACATACAAAAAGATGCTGAACATCACAAAAGTCCATTACCCATCCCAACATAGTTATCATCTGGATTTCTAGCAGCGCAGATCCGTTTTAACTGTTCTGTGCTCAATAGGAATGAAAAGAATCACACAGTTTAGACAGTTTTTTTTTTCCTTTTCTTGCTTCATTGTGAGGTTATTCCACAATGCTGCACATAACCACAAAAGCTTCATGTGTAATGTGGTACCATATTCCTTACATAGGATGCATTCATTTTTGTCCTTGTATTTTTTTTGAGAGTTTATATATTTTGGCTTTCATGAGTAGTATTCTTCTGAAAATACTCAGTCATTTTTGGAATTAGTGTGTTTCTGACGGTTACAAAACTAGGAACAGAGTCACCAGTTAGTCATGAGGTGGACATACTCTAAATGTTACTGATATGACTTGTCAGCTTCCCCAAGTGGTCACATCAATTTATATTCTTGCCAATAATGTATGAGAGTTTCAGCTGTTGCTAACACTATCCAAAACACAGTGTTTATATATTTTTGGTTTTAGTAATTCTGATAAGCATTACCATATGTGATTATCTGTCGTTACCATATTATGGTTTCAATTTCTATTTTTCTCTCACTAGTAAAATCTGGTACTCCTTCATAAGGTTACTGGGTATCTAGATATCTTTTTGTTGAAGAATCTACAAATATTTTGCCTATTGTCTGATTTTTCTAATGGTTATTTGAACCTTTATTTATTTATAAATTCTTTATTCTGCCAAGAGTCCTTTGTTGACTAAGTATTGTCTCCAACTGTTTGGGTCACCTGTTCTGTCTTGATATCTATTTTACTTTTAAATATTTACTTATCTATTTATTTGAAATAATTGCAGAAAGGGAGAGAAGACCAGAGAGAGAAATTAAGACAGACAATCTTCTTGTTTAGTTCATTCCCCAGATGGCTGCATCAGATGGAGCCATGCCAAGCCAAAGTCAGGAGCTTCGTCTGGGTCTTCCACTTGGGTGCAAGGGTCCAAGTCCTTGGACCATCAATTTCTACACTGCCTTTCCAGGTATATTAATAGGGAGCTGGGTGGGAAGTGGAGCAGCTGGGACACAAACCAGCACCTACATGGGATGCCGGCACTGCAGACAGTGGCTAAATGAACTGTGCCACAGTGCCAGCCCTTGATATTTATCTTAATAAACAGAAGCTTCTAATTTGAATTTCTTGTTATCAAATTTTATCTTTTTTTAAAAACATTTATTTATTTTTATCGGAAAGGCAGATATACAGAGAGGAGGAGAGACAGAGAGGAAGATCTTCCATCCGATGGTTTACTCCCCAAGTGAGCGCAACGGCTGCAGCTGAGCCAATCTGAAGCCAGGAGCCAGGAGCCAGGAGCTCTTCTGAGTCCCCCACGTGGGTGCAGGGTCCCAAGGCTTTGGGCCATCCTCGGCTGCTTTCCCAGGCCACAAGCAGGGAGCTGGATGGGAAGTGGGGCTGCTGGGATTAGAACTGGTGCCCATATGGGATCCCGGGGCGTTCAAGGCGAGGACCTTAGCTGCTAGGCCACGGCGCCGGGCCCTGTCCTTTTTTTTTTTTCTTTTCTTTTCTCGGGGCCGCCTGGCACAGAGATGGGTCAAGGCCAGACCAAATAAGACCCAAGTGCAGCCACGGGGCGGGCACAGGAGCGGACGTACTCACTACCTTGCACACACACACGTCCACTCTCACCTCGGCCCATGCGCACCTGACACGTGATGACCACCGACGCTACACAAACACACACACACACACACACACACACACACACCCTGCCACGCCCCAGGCTCGCTCCCTCTGCTGCCTATCCTTGACTGTTTGAAATTCAAAAACGGCTTTCTCCAGTTTGAGAGTTTTGAACAAAATAAATTTTTTGTTGGGATCATGTTACTCATATTCGTAATAGATTTGTCTGTGATTTTGCTTTCTTGTAATACTGTTCCTACTTTGCTTCGCACTTTGGTCTAAAGGCAAAATAAATAATTCTCGAATCCTGCCTCATCTTTTGGTCTGTTAGAAGGACAGGATGATAAACATCCTTTGGTCTCTGACATATGGTGCCTCCAAAAACCCTTCAGCAAGAGACCTTTGCCTTTTTGTTGATCACTTTGTCTCCCTATCCCTTACAAGGCCGGTGAGGATGCTGGCCCTGTTGGAAACTCCAGGGTTTGCTCCCTTATATAGGAAGAGGGAGGGTGAGAGGACTACTATTGTTTTTTAAAATAGATTTATTTTTATTGGAAATATGGATTTACAGAGAGAAGGAGAGATAGAGAAAGATCTTTCATCTGCTGGTTCACTCCCTAAGTGGCCGCCATGACCAAAGCTGAGCCGATGCAAAGCCAGGAGCTTCTTCTGGGTCTCCCACTTGGGTACAGGGTCCCAAGGCTTTCGGGTATCTTCTACTGATTTCCCAGGTCAAAAGCAGGGAATTGGATGGCAACGGGAGCAGCAGAGATATGCACTGGTGTCCACGGCAGCTCCTGGGTGCTTGCAGACAGTACTTAGCCAACTGAGCCACGGGACTTGAGGACTAAGATTTTTGGTCCTCCTGTCTCTTGTAAGAGAGCCCTCCCCCCAATTTCACTAGGCAGGATTGAGGTTGTGTTTGTTCATCCCTTGAAGGGCTCATGCTCTTCTTTCCTTCACTGCCTAGAGAAGTCAGTCAGAAGTTCCAGTCCGATGGCCCAAATTCTAGGTCAACATCACCAAAAGGGTGAGAGTAGGACTGACATGCTCAACCACCTTCGGATGATTATGATCACAGATAGTATTCGAGGATCGCTGTTTTATTTTCTTTAACTAGCTTTTTTTTTTCTGTTTTAATGTCAGTACGATGTATCTCTTGTGCCCAGCATGGTGGCCTAGTGGCTAAAGTCCTCGCCTTGCATGTGCCGGGATCCCATAAGGGTGCCAATTTGTGTCCCAGCTACTCCACTTCCCTTCCAGTTCCCTGCCTGTGGTAAGCAGTCGAGGATGGACCAAACCCACGTGGGAGACTCAGCAGAAGCTCCTGGTCTATGGCTTCAGATCAGCTCAGCTCCCGCCACTTGGGGAGTGAACCAGTGGAAGGCAGATCTTTCTCTGTTTCTCCTTCTCTCTGGAAATCTGACTCTCCAATACAAACAAATCTTTTTTAAAAAGACTTGTCTCTTTTTTTAAAAAAAAGATTTATTTTTATTATTTTTTATTGGAAAGGCGGACATACAGAGAAGAGACAGAGAGGAAGATCTTCCGTTCGATGATTCACTCCCCAAGTGAGCACAACGGTCGATGCTATGCCAATCCGGAGCCAGGAGCCTCTTCCGGGTCTCCCACGCGGGTGCAGGGTCCCAAAGCTTTGGGCCATCCTCGACTGCTTTCCCAGGCCACAGGCGGGGAGCTGGAAGGGAAGCGGGGCTGCTGGGATAGAACTGGCGCCCATATGGGATCTCGGGCGTGCAAGTCGAGGTCTTAACCACTTGCGCCACCGCACAGGGCCCAAAAAAGTCTTGTCTCTTAAATTGAATGAATCTCATGCCATGAAGAGGTTTGCTGATTTTGCTTTTTGTTTTGTTTTGCTTGTTTGTTTGTTTTTTTCTCCAATCTGGGGGCCAGACTATTGTTTCTTGTTGAATTCTATGCTAAGCATGGAACAGAACAGCCTATTTCACTGATTGAAAGACGTTTCAGAGTATCCTTTAGGAGGTTGGATAAATATTTCTGGCTACCATGGTAACCGAGGAGGGCGGAGTTTGCCTCCAACACAACCCTGAACGCACAGCGGAATTCTGGCAGGCCCCTCAGGCTGTGAAGCCACCGTTGCACCAATAAGGGGTACAAACCGATATCCCCCCACCAAATAAGGGCAGAGGTGACCGCACGTTTGGGATTCTGTGTCAAGAACAGCTTTAAAAGGCCCTTCCCAGTCTCTTGCACACTTTTTCCCTGCAGCCTTCAACTTCATGTCTGTCTCTCTGTTGCCCGGGGAAGGGAAGCCCGTGACCGTGGCTCCCTCAATAAACACCATCTAAGTTCTTTTTATATATTTTGGCTGAGTTACTCTTTCCCCGGTGGTTCGCGAATCTAACATTTTGGCGAGCGGCGAATCGCACAAATATGCTAAAAGTATATGATTCAAACGGGATTAAAGCAGTTTCAGTGATTTATTGAGCCCAACTTACTAAACTACATTTTATTAGTCTGGCTGTGAAGTCCAGCCTTTTATTTACAGGGTGAAGCTCTGGCAGGTACTGTGCTCACGAACTACTCAAAATGGCATAAGACTTAAAGAACCGTGGACATGTCTTCTGCCTGACATCTTAGGTCCTGTCATTGGGGAGGGAAACTAACATTTTCCAAACACCTGTTACAAGTGCCCCGTGACTCCTGTTTTAAATACCTGCCTTATTTTCTTCTCACAAGCCTACTATATGGCTAATTTCATTCTGGTTTTACAAAGCAGTAAACTGAGGGCCTGATGCCATGATATAAATTGTTAAGATTCAGCCCCGGCATGGTGGCCTAGCAGCTGAAATCCTCACCTTGCATGTGCCGGGATCCCATATGGGCACTGGTTCTAATTCTGACTGTCCCACTTCCCATCCAGCCTCCTGCTTGTGGCCTGGAAAAGCAGTCAAGGATGACTGAAAGCCTTGGGACCCTGCACCCATGTGGTACACCCGAAAGAAGTTTCTGGTTCCTGGCTTTGGATCAGCTCAGCTCTAGCTGTTGTGGTCACATGTGGAGTGAATCACAGGGCAAAAGATCTTCCTCTCTGTCTCTCCTCCTTTCTGTACATTTGACCTCGCAGTAAAAAAATAAACATTTTTTTTAAAAAGTTGTTAAGACTCATATAGTTATGGGACACTTTTTGAGAAATGGATTTGATTCCAGATTATTAGATTTCAAGCCTGTGCTCTACTGGAAAAGGATCCTTTCAGTTGTAAGTGACAGAAATCCAACTCAGTCTACCTTTGGAAAAAAACAACTAAACAACAAAGGCATCTGTTACTTTTCTTCTAGGAAACAAGTATCTCAGGGTAACTGATGAAACTGAAGAAATTGCTGAGGGGACCAAGATTTTGATGACTGGAACCAGGAACTCTGTTTTTTTCCATGTAAATCTGTTTCATAGTTTCTTGTTTTAAGTAGGGTTTGTCCATATGTCAGGAATGGTGGCTTCTAAAATTCAAACTAGCAACTAATGGTTAACAAAATGTGTCTCTGGGCATGGCGGCTTAAGTCCTTGCCTTGAACGCCCCGGGATCCCATATGGGCACCGGTTCTAATCCCGGCAGCTCCACTTCCTATCCAGCTCCCTGCTTGTGGCCTGGGAAAGCAGTGGAGGACGGCCCAAAGCCTTGGGATTCTGCACCCAGTATGGGAGACCTGGAGGAATTTCCTGGCTCCTGGCTTCAGATCAGCATAGCACCAGCCGTTGAGGTCACTTGGGGAGTGATCACTGGACGGAAAATCTTCCTCTCGGTCTCTCCTCCTCTCTGTATATCTGCCTTTGTATTAAAAATAAATAAATCTTTTAAAAAATGTGTCTCTTTTTTAGAATTCTCATATCCCAGAGCAGGACTCAGATTAGTCCTGCTTGGACTTGTACAATGTTGCTACAGAAGTGGAGTCATCTACTTGGCCAGACCTGAATCACATGCTACCCCCACCCCGCCCCACAAGCCCTAGAGTAGGGACGATCTGTGAATAGAATCAAGCGAGTAGGAAAGATAGGTCAGGTTAAAAAGAAAAAAGGGCTGCCACAGACTAGCCACTACATGTGCATGTCCAAATACAGTAGGTTCTAGTGGCAAATTTGACAAACCTTTGCTGTTGAGAGCCACATAGCAACTATTTTTCTGCTTTGTATGCCTTACACTGTCACTTTAACTTCTTCCTCATCTTTTTTTTTTTTTTTTGCTTCTTCCCACAATCATTTCAAAGGATAAAATGCATTTTTAGCTCACAGATGATACCAAAATGGACTTTAGGCCCAGATCACTTTGAAAGGGAGCAAGGTATCTTAACTTCCAGTCAACTTCACACTCAGTGTGTTCAAAGCCGAAGTGAAGTTCATTCATTGAAATGTGGCAGACGCTGTAGTGTGCAAAGCAAGTGGGCACTAACACTACAGAGCTTAATTTGTATGAAGTGTGGTACTAGGAGTTTACGTAATGTGATAGCATTAAGTTTTCACAATTATTTATTTATTTTATTTTTTATTTTATTTATTTTTATTCCTTCATCATCATTATTATTATTGTTGTTGTTATCATTTTATGATACATAATCTTCACAATTATTTTTGAAGGCAGATGCTTTTAAGGTCACTTTCTGACTTCTAAATCGAAGTGACATAACTTGTCCAAGTGCACTCAGTTAGTAAGAACCATATACATGGTTCAAATATAAGTCTTTCTGGCTACCAATGATTATTTAAAAAATTTTTTTTAAAATATTAATTTAAGCATGTTGAGTGCAGGTTGTGTGTTTGGGGTTGAGGGTGTGAGGCACAGTAATAATACTAGCTAATACCTCCTCAGGATCTTTAAAGGAGGACAACTATAATTACCTTTGGGCACCACAGATATTTCAATGAAGTCACCTGTTATTTTTACAATTTCTTATATTACAATGACTTTTAATACCAAGCAAGGGGATATATTTTTTTTTAACAAGCAATGCTAGCCCAATGAGATAAACAAGTTATTTTCATATATAACAAAGGGTGCTTGCTTCAGTATTACTAGCTTTTTTCACTTTAAGCTACAGTGATTTAGAGGTAGG